GGGTTGGAGTATAGTTTTTGAAACTTTTTTTTTTGTTTTTTTTTTGGTTTTTTTTTTTCGTTTTTTTTTTTGTTTTTTTTTTTTTTGTTTTTTTTTTTTTTTTTTTTTTTTTTTTTTTTTTTTTTTTTTTTTACAATAATCTTATTGTTTGTGTACAGACGAGAGAGTTGGCGGTTGCCAAGTCACGGATAATCGTTTATAATGTGATTCTGTTGGGTGATGATGGGTGGTGGGTGGGTGAAGGGTAATGTTTTGCAAGGGAAATTAAAAATTCCAAAAAAATTTTTTATGAAGGTGTGTCGTGTTTGTGGAGGAAGTTTCCTTAAACGTGAGTTGTCGACCTTTCGGTATCACAATCATACAGCATATGAAAGATGAGCTTTTCGGATCGTATGACGCGTGTGTACTATTTTTTTTTTTTTTTTTTTTTTCGGGGGGTGATTTGTTTGTTGATTACTTGATACATTCCTCGAATTGCTATCAATGTAATAGGTGGTACAATAAATAGAATATACCGTGACACCCTTTTTCGCTTTTTCGTGCTCCATTTCGGTCCATCGTGCTAGTCCTTTTTATTCTTTTCTTTGTTAACGCGCGTTCAGCCTGAAATTACGTACGCCAATAAATATTTATCTTTAATTAAAGGATTAGCACAGGCAGTTTTACCTTCCGAAAGAAATTCATTAAAGGACTCATTCATTCAAGTGTTGCGTGAAATAGGAGAATTACACCTTTCTCACCTTTGACTAGTTCATCGTCCGTGCGAACTCACACACACACACACACACACACACAAAAAAAAAAAAATCGGTTTTCCAAATAAAAACAAAATTTTGTTATTTATTTACCCCATGTTGCCATTAAGCGGTGACCAACCAAACGGCCGAATAATGTATTAAAGAATATTTGCTCGAATATCAATGCTTAATTTATCTTAACGGTTAAAAAAAAAAATATGGTTGGGTGATTGCCCCGGGTGGCTTAAGGTGGTTTAATTCTCCATCTCGGATGAACACGCATGTTTTGTAATTCGGCAGACCTCCCTCACCGCTAGAAATTCTACGTGCCGCTCGCCAAACGCACACTTTGGGAAAAGGAGGGCCTCGAATATACTGCAAAAAGAAACGTTGTTCCACCTCGTACCGCTTACCAAATCCGACTCGGAATGGAACGGCATTGCGTCATTAGTTTGATATCATTTAATTGGCATCTTGTGATAGGTAACATACGGTTCCCTTCACCTCACATATCCTGTTTCTTGTCACGTTTGGTAGTTTGCCATGCATCATGGAGTCATCTGTTCTTCGAATCCTTTGCCTTTAAGGAACAACCATTTTCTTGATGAACAATCGCAAGATTGATTGATTGATTAAAATAATCATGCAATGAAATTATGTCATTCTATAATCAAAAAGGTACGTCCACTCATTTTCTTTCTCCTTTTTTTTCTATTGCATCGTGAATTTATAATTCATCTTTTTGTCGTCTTGTACACAGTTCCTCGTTAATACGGCGTATAAATTTCAAAAGTCTCAATACACCGTTAATTACAGTTTAATATTTCAAATCATCACAATGCGACCTACAAGATGATGTATAAAAAGTTTCGTGGATCGAAAATTAATCGATGCGCGGTCACCTATTTCATTCATATGATTTGACTATCCAGAGTGCCTAAACTTTTTAGTAAACGCGCGTGATGAATCAGCAGCATTGTGTTTTGCAAAGATCGTTACACGATGATCAACTCGATATCCGAGTTCGGCCGTGAAAAGTAAAGGTCAAACTCAAAACGGAGATGTCTCCGCAAGCAAGTTGAACCGAGACCACTTGAGGAATGAGGTGTCAACGTCGCCACACAAGATAAACAAACCGGTTGCTTCAAACCAAAATCTTGACAGCCTGTAAACATATTGAAGAAGGAAGAGGACCTTTGAATGGAGGTTGCGCGCATGGTTGAAACTTTCAGGTCGTGTTAAAATTTCTGCCTGAAGATATCGTGCGAACGGTCTAAACGAAAAAAAAAAAAAAAAAAAAAACACACACGGCTCCATCGTGGTTATTATTATGTATCACGAGCATCGCGCGACCACACCCTCCTCCACCTTTACAGTACCGTTAATTATCTTCTTGCAAGCTCAAGTCTTAAATCAAATGACTAAAGGAAAGGGGGCCAATCCTGGGCAGTTTCCAATTTAATTGGTTGACCGCTGGTGTAACTCTACTTAACATCCATTCCACGCGTTCTACGCGTCGACAATTTCCTGTTTCATCGACATTTCGTTGGATGTTTTTTTTTTTTTTCCTACCTTGGTCGTGAAATAAGAGCGATTTCACCAATCGCAAGGGGGCGGAAGATCTCTCTTCACTCGATTCGTTCTCGCTGCACTCAACCACGGTATGTACTGTCGAACATGTGAAAACGTTGTTCTGTGTGTACTCACAGTATTTATTTATTTATTTCTACCGATCGGAGATTTGTCATTTACGGTCGGCACTTCATAAATAACTCGCCGCGCACTTAAAAAATCTTGTCGAGGACTCGGAACGAGTCTCCATCAAAATGGTGAATGAATAGAAATCCAACTAACGTTTTCAATGCATCACACAATATGTTAACTCATCGTTCTCGCACTTCTGTTTTGCTCCCATCAACCTTTCCTCAAATCACATCTAGGGTCTTTCTTTTCTCGAAAAAATCGTATTCACGGTTTTTCTCGAAAATCAAATCTATTGCCCATGGCACTCGGAGTGAAGTAACGAGCGTGCTTGTTTCGGAGAACCACTCGCGTGTTACCGGGCGGGGAGAGAAACGAGCGACCCTTCACTTACGAGAAATCATGACTATTAACCATGAGACACCCTTGAATGGATGGTCACAATAGTCGTCAGCGACCAATAAGAAGAGTCGAGGAATTTCTGGCCGATCTACTCTGAAAAACAGGGAAGATCGCCTCGGACGAGTCAATAAAGGATGCTCGGAAGATTCGACCATCCGTGATCTGCAAGTGAAGGGACAAGTTGATATTTCTTTTCGCAAGCAAGCAAGCAAAGGTGTCTATGTTTACTCGGAATGCGGGGGGGGGAGTGACCTAACTTGACAGATGGAAATCATCGTATGAAAGGTTTAGGTTCTCGTAAGGTTGTATGCCACGAACATCATTTTTGAGTACTATTTAGGTAAGTCGGATTATGCTTTGCAGACAATATCATGTGCATTCATTGATAATATGATCATATTGTTCAGGTCATTGCGGAAAAAGAGAGACGAGATAAAAATGAACAAGCGATGTTTTACAGCCCAATGAAGATGTGGACTTGAAACAAAGCCGTGACGATTTAATGATAAATCACGTACGGTAGCATTTTAATTTCATCTATTAAAAAAACTGTTTTTCTCACACCAGAGTGAGTTCCAATTTCTAACAATTTAAACATGCGATGTGTGCAATAATGGTTTGGGTGTACGCAATTGACGCAATTGACGCAATTGATGAATCCGTTTGATACATTCGTATATAATTTTTTTCCTTGTGATGAGCCATGTGACTATTACGCAAAGTAATACGCGCGTGTGTTGAATAATTATTTGAAATCTCGAGTGGACACAACTCTCAAAGGACATTTGAATTGTTCATTGATTAAGGCATAATGATTTGGCATTATTGTCAAAGAAGTGAGATGAACCGTGAATGTAAAAAATTAACTTAATAATAAAAAAGATTTAAGAGTAATTTTTTTATTTATACGTGATATTTTTACGTAAAAGTCTATGGGCGATACTTCATGCGGCATGCGAATATTATAGACTATTAAGGAAAAAAATAAGAATAGGAATCATTATAAAATTTATATAAAATTTTATTTTACTATTATTGTGCACATATGAAATTGTGATGGCAAATATACAACAGTATAACCGACCGTACACCACTGTATTCGATTGATTTTCCTTAAAAAATAAAGATATTTAACAATAATAAAACTTTAGAATGAATAATAAAAAAATTTTTAGAATAAGTATTAAGACATAATATATATAAATTTTTATAATTTTTGACACTCCAATTTAATTTATCACGACGGCTATTTTCATAAATTTCGCAAGAACTTTTTTTTTCCACATTGTAATTTGCAGTATACACACTATATCGGATCTGCATGCAAAGTTTGTTGGATGAATACACGAATTCCACGCAATCAACCTGTATAATCACAAAAAAGCTTCATGATCTCATTCTCATGGGAACTTTTGGACCTTAATCCGTATTGTTTATTTCTAATTACATATGCATTGATCCGGGAAATTCGTAATACGTATTTATAATTGCGTTCAAAACTTGACGATAGAAAAATAATTTAACAGCTGTGCATAGTTTCATAGAGAATACTAGTTTTAGGGGTGATACAAGATACAGTATTTGAAGTCAGCGACCAAGAAAAACAAACAACAAACAATTAGTAATAGGACACATTCGGGTAATAATAGATGAAGATGAATAAATACTAGAGCACCGCTATGTGAAAATATGTCTGTCAACTGCACAGCAGTGGTTTGGTTATGCATGCCAAAAAAGTGACCATTTGCCTTTGCGTGAAAATGAGAGCTCGATAAAGGTATGAAATACAAATATTTACTTTTCTTATATAATGCGGTAGCAAGGAGATAGACTATATGGGATATTTTTAAGAATGTACGCAAATCAAGGATCAAATGCTCAATAAACAACAATAACAACCTTCGTGTTCATTTGAGATGAGGAGATAACCACCACATTCCTGATAAATTCCAGGTGTACTTGATTAGTGCGATCCATATGATGATATTATGTAACGGGATGCTTGTTGTAACACTCTCTCACCGCTGTACCATTCCATCCGCCGCATACAACACCGTTCTTGCGTGCTTCTCAATTGCTAACCTTAATTTTTATAGTCGGTATTTTTTCGATGTGACAATCAAAGGAATCTCACAAGTCACCAAACCCCCCCCCCCAATTGTGGTGTTGATAGAACATCCAAAATCAAGTTTTACAACAAAACGTGATCTTCTCGATCGGTGATGATACGCATTTAGCTTGGTCGGTTTACTATTATGCGTGGGCGAACGGCGAATAGCTCCTGTTTCACTTGATCAACGCCTTTTTCACTTAAATCAATGCGGACGTACCTATCGCATCGAGTTCATTTTTCAACGAGAGTAGAGGTAAGGGCACACAATCTTTGCGTGCGTGAGCGGTCGTTGCTCATCATAGTCGGAAGTGTTACATGTGTGTATGGTCATATAAGGTCTGCGGACAGTTATACCATTATGGTTAAAGTTTGAATCATTATGCGATAGTTTGATCAAGAGCGGAACTTATCGGACCATATGACTTTTACTTTTTGTGCTAGAAATTTGACAAATTAATTTGTTATCTACTAGATAACCCCGACATCTCAGATAATCGGTATCGTGATCTTAACAAATGTTATCATATATGAAAGACCTGCATGTTTATTAATAAAATTCTTGAAACCTTTTAATTTTAATTTAATGACGTAATTAATATCAATCATACAATACTGTATACCGAATGTCAAAATAATGATAATAAATATTGCAATAAACAGTAATAATTGAAATAATGTGATAAGATTTCGATTTTATCATCTTTTTATTCTTTCTTTAATATACTATATATTCTTTTCTTAACCTAAATATATCTTTTTTTTTTTTTTTTTTTATAATATATTAAAAATTTTTATTTTATGATTAAAGTGATACTTTATAATTTCTTATGCAATTTATGAGTTTTATTTATCACCTACAAAATAAAAATTTATCATAAATCTGATTAATCAAAAAACTCTTGTCTTTATTTATCTTAAAGAAGATATAAAAAATATTATCTAAATTTTTTATTTTATTGTATTTATTAATTATAAATTTATCAAATTTAAATTAAAAAATTTTTGGGTTTCAATAAAATCTTTAATGTTAATCTTAATAAAACATTATTACCATATTAAACAATTGTTATAAAATTTTCATTTAAATCTAATACTTATTATTCTATTAAGGAATTTTTTTATCCGATTCACTTAACTAAATAATTCAACATTTTATTAAATTTATCAATTGTTTGTATTTTAACCTTTTCAAACTTTTGATACTATTCTATAAGAATCTATTAATTGTTTTAATTTAATT